GGTGTGTGGCGTCCATGGCGTCCATGTGCAAGGGCCCTGAATGAGGCAAATGCAGAGCCGCGTCACAGCCGTCTGCTTTCGGACTCTCCTACGTCATCAAGACGTGCGCGAGCACACAGACGTTATTTCTGTGTCTTCTACTTAGTGTAGACGAGACGTTTGAGGATAACATTTCTTTAAGCGTCAGAAAGTTCAGGTAGCCATACTCTTACGCCTGGAAGACGGTGTTGCAAGCTTCTGTGGTAGGCTCAGCCACAGCAAATGTTTGGGTGAAAATTCATGTGATTTAGTTCAGGGATGGTCCTTTCCGTGTGGTGCTTGGGGTGTTTCTAAGCTCCAGGACAATGGGAACAAAATTGCGGAATGTGTGAGTTTCACTTTGGGGCAGGAAGTCTGACCATGTTCTTACTTTCAGGATTGTGGTGGTTTTGGACTCCATGATTAAGGTCTTCACATTCACACACAATCCCCACCAGCTGCACGTCTTTGAGACCTGCTATAACCCAAAAGGTAAGAGGTCTGAGGACGAGCAGCCCTGGCGGCGAGTCTCGGCCATGGTGCTCCTCCTGCAGAGGGTCTGTCCGAGCAGCCACCCTGCCAACGCGCCAGGCCGGTCAGGCTGTGGGAGGATCCATGTTCCTTGCTTTCCTGCCCCTTCCCTCGGGCCTGCTCCACCTTCAGCTTAGCTCACCCCAGTTCCCGCTGGTTAGTGGTTGGTAAACCTGAGTCCTCCTCAGCATCTGGGGGGCCTTCACGTGACATCAGCCCTCCCCTGCTCGCACCTGGACCTCCAGCCCACTGGGAGCTGCCAGGTGGGAGCATGTCTACTCGCTGGGGCCTCTGGATTCTGGTCTAGAGCCTTCACGTCCTTTCTCCATCTGGGCTGAGAAGTACTTGTTGGCTGACTTTGTTTTGTACTTTAATTTCTGTTTCGATTTTGCCCCTGTCTCCAGCTATGTTGAGGAGATCCACTGATTTTAAGTTTTAATCGATAAATTTTGGACACTGTACGCAGTTGTATAACCACCAGCACAGTTGAGACATAGAATGGTCTCGCCACCCAAAAATGCTTTCTCGTGACTCTCTGTACCTGGCCACCTTGTCGACCTGACCCCCGAGCTTTGCCTTTTGAGATGTGCAGATGTAGAACCACCCCAGGGGGCATCCAAGCCTGTAATCTGACAGAGCAGACGGCCACGTCTTTCTCCTGCAGAGCGGCGGGTGGGTTCAGACTGCTGACCTTTCGGTTAGAAGCCAAGCGCTCAGCCACTGCGCCCCCAGGGCTCCTCGAGCGTCTAGTCAGTTCTCTCACCTGTTTTTAATTGGCTGTTTATTGTATTGAGAAATTTAGTAGGTTTAAGTCTTAAGTTTTTAAACATTAAACGTCTACCTTTAAATCAGTGAAACCCTTTCCTCTGATTTTCGTGTTAGGCGAAGCCCCAAATCCTGACACGGAAACATGTGCCTGCTCTCGTGGCGTCCACATGCACCCTGCCCCCCGCCATGGGGCTATACGGGTGTTAAAGTGCCTGGACTGTCCACGTTGTCCACGGTGCGGCTGCCCAGTCCCTTGCATTAAAGACCGAAGTGGTGTCAGTGTGCGAGCGCTGGCTCCAGGCCCGGCAGCGCCGGCTCTCTGTGGGGGCGGCCTTCCTCCCTTGCAGGTGTGCCTGCAAGTGCTTGCTTGTGACCTGCACACGGCCCCGTGTTTCTCCCCCAGGTGGGTTGCTCCTTCTGGCTGGTGAACCAGTGTGAGGCGCTCTGCCAGCACCCCTCCTCCCTCTCCCCACAGGCGTCCCCAACACACTTCTGGGGGGGGTGAGGGGCAGCCCACCAGGATCTGGTGTTTGGTTTTATACTTGTGGGTGATTTGAAGTTGGGCCTTTTGTCTTCAGCTACGCCGAGGGCACAGGCTTTGTGCCGTTTGCCTGTTCTTGCTCTTTCTCTTCTCCTTTTGGGGGGGGTTCCGGAGGTCTGGATTTGCACTGCTGGTTCCCATCATTGCGCAGAGACGACCCGCTGGCCTTTCTCAGGCCATACTCCTCCCTGCGCGCCATCTCGTCTGGTCCTTATGTGCGAGAGCGTGATGGTCGCATCCTAGAGCAGCAGGAAGCCCGGGGCCATCCCAGCAGGAGCAGAGGAGGAGGTCTGTCTGCCTCTCGGTGCCTTGGTGCACGGTTGGTCCCAGTGCATCTGTCTGGTGGCTGTTCAGAACGTCTGCGTCTTTGCTGCTGTCACCAAACTATGTGGGTGCTCAGTCAGGTGTAGCAGTGGGCTGACCTCAAAGTGCACACACGGTGGCCATCTGTGGTCCAAGCTTCTGCCCGCGTGAGGGCCTCTGTGTGCGTGTGCAAGATGTTCTCGCCTCTTAGGAGGGTTCGTAGATATCAGCGGGCTGATTCTAAAATTCATATAGAAAGGCAAAGGAGCTAAAACATGAAATAGCAAACCAATCTCGAGAAAGAAGCGGAGTTGATGGGTTCACTGAGCCTGGTTTCAGAGGTAGCGTGGGGCCGCAGGGATTGAGACGGCACGGTGTTGGCCGGGGGCAGGCAGCATGTGTCGACGGGCCGGGGGCGAGCCTGAGAATAGCCCACGTGGACCATCACTTGATTTCTGATAACGTGGCCCAGGAACAGTTCTGAGCAGTGTCGCGACAGTGGAAGCGTTCGTGTAGAGGGACTTGGGCATGGTCTGAGGAGACGGGGTGGGAAGTACTTCCTCGTGTGGGCCGCTGTTCCTGGAGCTGGTGGCGTCAGCCTGGGTGTTGCTGAGCAGCTGGGTCAGGAGTCCAGGGAGCAGGTCTTCCCTTCTGAAGACATGGAATCAAGGTCTGTGAAGTCGTATGCCAGGAGAAGGAGAGGGAGAGCTAGTGCTACAGAGCAAAGCTCGTCCTTGTTCTGGATCCCCACCTCAGTGTGGGAGGTTCCTGGACAGAAGACAGCACACCTCATGGGAGTCGCGAGACCTCGGGCACAGCTAAGTCCCCTGCGTGGACAGAAACCACCCAGCTGATGGCGCAGGACAACTTGAAGCTGCTGTGTGTGGGGCCCTCTGCCGGGGCCCCGTCTCCCCCATCTGTCAGGCATGTTCCTCAGAACACTCGGCAAGGGGCAGCTCTGCGTGGTCTTCAGATGCCCTTCACCATGAATGGTTTTCAAACTGATTTTGTGATTTTGTGATGAGAGCCCCAGAACTATCATTATTGTCATCATTGTTATTTAGGGCTGGGGGGCAAGGAGTGGGTTCTGGTTGTGGATATCAGGATTTTGAAAACCGTTGTGAGTCAGGCGTGGGTGTTCTGTCTCCATAGGTCTGTGTGTCTTGTGCCCCAATAGCAACAACTCCCTGCTGGCCTTCCCGGGCACACACACGGGCCACGTGCAGCTTGTGGACCTGGCCAGCACTGAGAAGCCGCCCGTGGACATCCCCGCACATGAGGGCGTCCTGAGCTGCGTCGCCCTCAACCTTCAGGGGACGCGAATTGCAACGGCATCTGAGAAGGTGAGCTCAGCCCTGGAGACACTCCTGTGTCCCCTCCCGAGACTGTCCTGATGTCCTTCCCTGACGGACGACGGACGGGCTGTGGGCTGGGCGGTGCCCTCATGGGGGAGGCAAGGCCAGGGCTTTGCAGGCCATCTGTGCTGAAGGACCAGGGCTGTTTCCAACTCTCTGAAACCAATGTGCTGCAAAGTCTGAGAAGTTTGACTGAGAACAGGGATGAGACAAGCAGATGCAGGACCACACCCTAGCTCTTTATTCAGAGGAGGAACTGCGGGGTGGTGGGTGCGGGTTCTATCTTAACAGATGCTGTCAAGTCGCTTTCCCCCTGAGCTGCCACATTTCCACCCCGTCAGAGTCCGCTGGACTCTCCCGGACTCTGGGGAGATGTTGAAACAAAAAGGACGGAGCCCATTCTGAGGAATCCGACATCCAAGAGGGTCTCAGGGAAGCAGAGGAGCTGGTCCCACGTCAGTGGCCTCGCCCTCTGACGGCAGAGTGACTCTGTTGCTTGGTCGCACTGTCCGTCGGGTTGTGACCGAGATGACACTTCCCTGGACAGTGACCTGGGCCAGGTCTGTGAGCCATGTGGGTCAGTGGGAGGGCGCAGCTGCAGAGAGTGTGAGTGGGTGGTTGTGTGGACTGCCGGCTCCGTGAGCCTCTAGTGATGAAAGCCTTCACTGTTTTTCAAAGGGGACGCTTATAAGAATATTTGATACCTCATCAGGGCACCTGATCCAGGAGCTGCGGAGAGGCTCCCAGGCAGCAAACATCTACTGGTGAGTGTCCACGTCTGTCTCCCTAGAGGAGATGAGTGCTTTGGGATGGCATCGGGAGGATCCAGGACGGCCACCCTGTGTCCACCTTGTGGCTGGGTGTTGGGCTTCAGCTCTCGGGATGAGTTACGGCTGTGTATATTGGGGAGTTGAAAATGTATATGAAATAGCAAGACTATTATTTCTAATCACCTTGACCCACTACCTGCTTCAGCACTGCTGGTATCTTGCCATTTGTACTTCTTCGCTTCACCACTTCTCCTGCTTACGTGTCTGTAGTATTTTAAGGCAAATGATGGGGGCCTTGTTGGTTCGTCTGTAATTCAGAGCCGGAATGCCTTCTGTGACAAGGCTGGTGTGCCACAGCCCCGGGGACCACAGTGCCACCGTGCTCAGTCCCCACTCGGAGGAAGACCTTGCCCTCTGCACCTCGGCCTGCACGGGGTGTGTGGGGTGGGAGTGGAGCTAGTCCGTAAGCTGAGTGCGTTTATTTGCGGGGCTCAGGACAAAGGCTGCTGGCTGCCAGTACCACCACAGGCCGTGGCTGCCACATCAGCAAGCTGACCACAGAATGGAGCTGGGCCCCACAGGGGCAGAGCAGGTGGAATCTCTGGAGGCCCTGTCCCCAGGGCTGCTCTGCAAGGAACCCCTTGCTCAGCGCATCGCCCAGGCCGAGGAAGCCTCCTGCTGCTTTGAGAGCCACGCCCAGAGTTGACCTGTGGCTTTGACCTCCATGGAGACCCTTCGTTCATGAAAGGGCCTTGGAGGTGGTGGTTCTCCCATTCCATCTGGAGTTACAGGGCGTGGCGGGGGGGGGGTCTCACGAGGATTTCACACGCCGGGTGGGAGTCGTGTGTAGACCTCCCTGCTCCTCTCTCCACAGCATCAACTTCAACCAGGACGCGTCCCTCATCTGTGTGTCCAGTGACCACGGCACGGTGCACATTTTTGCCGCTGAAGATCCAAAAAGGAATAAGCAGTCCAGGTGGGTCTGAGGAAGTCCGGTGGTGGGAGAAGACCAAAATCAAAGGGTTGACCATTCTTTATCGTGGACATCATTAATTCCAGAAGTCCAGGCTGGAGTCTTTTCCACTGTTCACTTGATCCTTGCTGAGGCTTGGAAACAGGACAGATTATTGGGTACTAAGCCATGGGTTGTCACTGCCCTGTAGTTCCGCTGGGATAACGCTCTGGGGATGGCTTCTTGTTTACTACAAAACCCTTTTTAAAGACTTTTATCATATGAGGAATAAAAGAATAAAAACAAAAACGGAATTTTAAAACACCACAAGGCTAAGGTCATATTGGATTGAAGACATTTTTAACAGGATTTTTGGTTTAATCAGGTGGATCTTCTGTGCCTTGGTAACTTGGTTATGTGAGGGTGATTGCGTTTTCATTATTCCTTATCCTCACAGTTTGGCGTCTGCCAGTTTCCTCCCGAAATACTTCAGCTCCAAGTGGAGCTTCTCCAAATTCCAGGTCCCCTCAGGCTCTCCGTGCATCTGTGCCTTTGGAACAGAGCCCAACGCTGTCATTGGTGAGCAGTCCTCCCTCCCTGCTCGGGTGCACGGCTCCATCCAGCCCCAGGACCCCTGGTGGTGCTCAAGGCCTGGACAGCCGTTAGGATGCTGTCAGCTCCCACCCCCCATGGTTTCCCCCAGGAATTGCTGGGAGCAGGTCCGTGCTCAGTCAGGTGTGGGGTCCACTTGCACTGCCAACAGGTCACTCTGGCTTGAGCACGGCTGAGGGAGGCAGGTGGCCAGCTGTCTGCAGCGAGCTCAGCAGGGACCAGCTGCCTGCATCGCTCGCAAGGAACCGTGGGTAAGGGGTTTCCCTCTGTTGCAGCCATCTGTGCCGACGGCAGCTACTACAAGTTCCTGTTCAACCCCAAGGGGGAGTGCATCCGGGACGTGTACGCACAGTTCCTGGAGATGACCGACGACAAGCTGTGAGCCGCGCAGCCTGGATGCTGCGCCGTTGCCCACGGGCTCCCAGGCTGTCGCTGCATTCCTGGGCCCGCGCGCCGCACACCAGTCAGTGGCCTGGGGCTGCCTGGTGCCCCAGCCTCAAAGCCATACGTGGTGGTCTGCTTTCCTGAGACAGGCGTCATACTTCCAGTATTAAAGAACAGAGTGGCTGTCAGCCACAGTGACGCCCTGCGGCGGTGACTAGCTCATGCCTGCCACCTGTCACCTTTTAGTTCAGCTGTGAAGTTAGCTTAGCAGTTCACTGCATCTCACACCCACGACGCCTCCGCACACGGAAGTCGGGGCTGAGGAGGGGCAGACGCCTGGACGCTTGTTTTTGGCAGCAGATTCCATCACATCACTGCGTCTTAGGGAAACGACAAGTGTAGATGTGAGTCCTACAGCAGAACAGGATTTAAGTAGAGTAACAATACCAGCAGCAGCCTTAGGGCAGAAGGGAGTTCCTTCTCCAGTCTGAATATGAAGCAGAGATCCACTCTGTCAGAGAGCACCACCCGGCCGGGTCCCTGCTGTAAGTTCTCTTCGTGGTCTCTGCGTGTCTGTAGCCGTGTGTGGTATGTGCACACTTGTGCGTCCCGTGTCTTTGTGCGCTGTTGGAATTGAAGCAAACACAAGGCCCCGGGGACGCCACTCCTCTCCCTGAGGGTGTGGTGGCCTCTTTGGTTCTCGAGGAACAAAGTGATGCAGAGAGTTAACCTTGACCTTGGAGAAAAATGCCGTGTGATGTGGAGCACAGGAAGTGGGCTGCAGCACAGCGCCCCACGTCCCCGTTGGGCAGCATTCAGCCTCCATCACTCTCGTGTCTTCCCTCCCAACGTCTGTAAGGATAGCGACACCCTTATGTTTTGGGAATGAAGGGCACGTACTTTTTTTTTAACGTTTGGTAAGCAAAATAGGTTATGGGCTCTGTGATGTTAGTACTGTTTGAGGTATATATTTAATTCTCCTCAGTTCCCTTCAAAGAGACTGATTTTGTTTTTGATTTCAGGTTGCAGACATTTAAAATCTGCATAGCAGCAATTTTCTCAGTGTGTCTGTTCTTTTCTGTCCTGTAATCAGCTAACTTTGTGGATTTTGATGTAATGTATGCATGTTACTTTTATGTGTATTTAATCATGAAATTTAATTTTGCACACTAATTTTTAATGTTTCTCTTAAATAAAAGTGACTAATTTTGTTGTACTCTTTATCCATAAAGGGAAGTAGAATTGCGCGTTATGAAACTGAAGTTCTCCCCGTTGTGAGAATCGGGGTTGAACTGTAGCTTCAGGAGCTCCCCGTGCAATCCTCAGGGACTGACTTGGGGTGGGTGGCACTGTGGTGGGAACGGTGTGAAAACCGAGGCCCCTGCACTTGCCCCCTCGCCCCCCACCCCCCACCGTGCAGACGTGTCGCGGGTGGCGCTGTGGTGGGAAGCGTGAAGGCTGAGGCCCCTGCACGTGGGCCGACTGGTCGTGGGTGGTGCCATGGTGGGAACAGCGTAAAAGCTGAGGCCGCTGTGTCCGCGACCGTCTCATAGCCGCTGAGCGCTTCTGGAGAATGAAGAAAACGAGTAGGAACCTCGTGCAGCCTTGGGAGGAGTGCAGCTTCCACGTGGGGAGCAGAGGTGAAAGAGCAGTGTTTACTGACTTTGTTCATCTGCGTCGGCCGTCACGCAGGCAGACGGCCCCAAAGGCATGGGGGGCGTCAGCCTCATGGGGGGACACGGTGTGTCTGAGCCTGAGTGCTCTAACAAGGCCTTCCCTGCGTCCCAGCTGATTTCGTCCAACGCGCCAGGTCTGACTTACATCGTTGATGGGATTGCCAGTTTACGTTCTCCCAAATACAATCCTCCTCACGTATCCAGCTGTCCACTGGCTGGGGGACAGTTCCCCCCAGGAGACTGGTCTTCCCACAGTGAGAGCTTTCTCAGGAAAGCAGGGCAGTTTAGCAGGCAACAACTCATGAGACGTCTCAAGTGTTTTTTGTAACAGTCTGCAAGCCGATGCCACGTCATACTCGTCCCCTCAGGACATGAGATCTGTGCTCCAGCTCTGCTGCACAGGACAACCTGGCTTCTCCGTGAGGTGATAGGATGGCAGGGCCCGTGAAGACGCTTGCGTCTGAGCAGGAGGCCCTGAGTGGGAAGCTTTGTCAGGAGCTACCTCCACGGCTGGCTTCCTGCCGGGCCCCATGGCTGGCTGGGGCGTGTGCTCTGCAGAGACCAGGCTGTCAGCCCTGTGGCAGCGAGAGAGCTCTGGCTCTTCTCTTGGTTTTTCCAACATAGGATGGTGAGCTTGTGCCACAGAGTGGGATCTGAGAAGTGACCGGAAAAAGACTGAGTTGGCAAGGTGGATGGACTGAGGAGGCAGCCGTGGTGTCGCCACAGTTTCTGCTCAAGACAGTGTCTGAGAAAGAACAAGGTGTTGCAGGAGACAACTGGCAGGGTGAAGCTTCCTGTGGGTTTACTGGTTTCAAACCGCTCACAATTCCAGTAAAAGCCTTGTGTGGAGCAGGTACCATGGCGCCTTTTCCCACTCGGGGGCACCTGTGCCTCCTTTCTCTGAATCTGGCCGAGTCCTCGTCTGCTGGGTCCACTGTGGTTTGTTAGAGGCAGGGAGACGTGAAGGGCTTCCTTCCCCCGGCTTCCGCACAAACCCCTGCTTGCTGGCCACGTTGAAAAGTGCAAGTGGTTGATTTCCCACCAAGGACCCACTGAAATGTGTGAAATTACTGCCTCAAACAGTTGTTCTCTGAAGAAATCTGTTCATCGGGTGTTCTACTACTGTGACTTCTCCAGCATGTGGGTGTGAAAGCTTGTCCATTTCTTGATGGCCTTGTTCATCATCAGCCCTTCCTCTCTCAGCCTGCACACCTGTCCCCTAAACCACCCGACACCAAGTCCTCTAAGAAGCACTGCTTTCTTGGAGCCACACACCTTTTCAGAAGTGGTAGCTGACCACTGCCTATGGAACAGACAGAGCACGAGGCCTCCAAAACTTGGCCCACATGTGCTTTAGGGGCACATCCTGGGGAAGCCACTCCAGCCTGGCCAGGAGTTTCACTGTTGGTGCTGGCCGTCTGAAACCTTGTACGGCCAGAGGTTTTTATGTCTGCGTACTTTACGCAATCAAACACCTATAGAACACATTATTTGCCATACCTTGTCTCCTAGCGTTTCAGTATTTTCCATAATAGGCATTTTATTAATTGCAACACTTGTAGAACTTGTGTTGTGCCCAAAGTTTGTTCCTCAAAAAATCAGGAAAACAAAATACAAGTGTTTGTTGTAAAATAAAAATATGTATATAAAAATTGGTTTTTTGTTGAAAGCAAAATTCCCCTATGTTGCTTTCTCCAGAGAAGACCACCACTGAAGAGCTCTGTGCCTCCTCGGCACATGATTTATAATCTCCACCAGTGTTAACAGATGCTGTTCTTGAACCGTTTATAACAGGAACAGGTCGAGAGCTGCCGTACTTATATAGGTTGTTATTCGGTGCCATGGAGTTGGTTCCAACTCATAGAGACCCTGTATACAACAGAACGGAACACTGCCCGGTCCTGCGCCATCCTCACAATCGTTAAGCTTAAGCCCGTTGTTGCAACCATTGTGTCAATCCATCTCGTTGAGGGTCTTCCTCTTTTTCGCTGACCTACCAAGCATGATGTCCTTCTCCAGGGACTGATCTCTCCTGATAACATGTCCAAAGTATGTAAGACGTAGTCTCGCCATCCTTGCTTCTAAGGAGCATTCTGGTTGTACTTCCAAGACAGATTTGTTCATTCTTCTGGCAGTCCATGGTATATTCAATATTCTTCTCCAACCCCACAATTCAGAGGCGTCAGTTCTTCTTCGGTCTTCCTTATTCATTGTCCAGCTTTCGCATGCATACAAGGCGATTGAAAATGCCATGGCTTGGGTCAGGCACACCTTAGTCTTCAAGGTAGTATCTTTGCTTTTCAACACTTTAAAGAGGTCTTTTACAGCAGATTTGCCCAATCCAATGTGTCTTTTGATTTCTTGACTGCTGCGTCCATGGGTGTTGATTGTGGATTCAAGTAAAATGATATCCTTGACAACTTCAATCTTTTCCCCATTTATCATGATGTTGCTTATTGGTCCAGTTGTGAGGATTTTTGTTTACTTTATGTTGAGGTGTAATCCATACTGAAGGCTGTGGTCTTTGATCTTCATCAGTAAGTTCCTTCAAGTCTTCTTCACTTTTCAGCAGGCAAGGTAGTGTCATCTGCATAATGCAGGTTGTTAATGAGTCATCTTCCAGTCCTGATGCCCCATTCTTCTTCATAAAGTCCAGCTTGGATTATTTGCTCAGCATACAGACTGAATAGGTATGGTGAAAGGATACAACCCTGACGCACGTATTTCCTGACTTTAAACCACACGATATCCCCTTGTTCTGTTCGAATGACTGCATCTTGATCTATGTACCGGTTCCTCATGAGCACAATTAGGTGTTCTGGAATTCTCATTCTTCAGAATGTCCATAATTTGTTATGATCCACACAGTCGAATGCCTTTGCATAGTCAATAAAACACAGGTAAACATCTTTCTGGTATTCTCTGCTTTCAGTCAGGACCCATCTGATATCAGCAATGATATCCCACGTTCCATGTCCTCTTCTGAATCTGGCTTGAATTTCTGGCAGTTTCCTGTCGATATACTGCTGCAGCTGCTTTTGAATGATCTTCAGCAAAATTTTACTTGTGTGTGATATTAATGATTTTGTTTGATAATTTCCGCATTCAGTTGGATTGCTTTTCTTGGGAATAGGCATAAATATGGATCTCTTCCAGTCAGTTGGCCAGGTAGCTGTCTTCCAAATTTCTTGGCATAGATGAGTGAGTACTCCAGTGCTGCATCCGTTTGTTGAAACATCTCAGTTGGTCTTCCATCAATTCCTGGAGCCTTGTTTTTTGCCTATGCCTTCAGTGCAGCTTGGACTTCTTCCTTCAGTACCATCAGTTCTTGATCATATGCTACCTCCTGAAATGGTTGAACATCGACCAATTCTTTTTGGTATAATGGCTCTGTGTATTCCTTCCATCTTCTTTTGATGCTTCCTGCATCATTTAATATTTTCCCTGTAGAATCCTTCAGTGTTGCAACTCAAGGCTTGAATTTTTTCTTCAGTTCTTTTAGCTGGAGAAATGCCGAGCGTGTTCTTCCCTTTTGGTTTTCCATCTCCAGCTCTTTGCACGTCATAATACTTTGTCTTTTCGAACTGCCCTTTGAAATCCTCTGTTCAGCTCTTTTACTTCTTCATTTCTTCCTTTTGCTTTACCTACTTTATGTTCAAGAGCAACTTTTATAGTCTCTTTTGACATCCATTTTGATCTTTTCTCTCTTTCCTGTCTTTTTAATGACCTCTTGCTTTCTTCATGTATGATGTCCTTGATGTCATTCCTCTCTGGTCTTTGGTCATTAGTGTTCAGCGTGTCAAATCTGTTCTTGAGATGGTCTCTAAATTAAAGTGGGATATACTGAAGGTCGTACTTTGGCTCTTGTGGACTTGTTCTAATTCAGTTTCAACTTGGACTTGCATATGAGCAATTGATGGTCTGTTCCACAGTCGGCCCCTGGCCTTGTTCTGCCTGATAATATTGAGCATTTCCCTCGTCTCTTCCCACAGATGTAGTCAGTTTGATTGCTGTGTATTCCGTCTGGGAGGTCCATGTGTGTAGTCGCTGTTTGTGTTGTTGAGAAAAGATACTTGCAATGAAGAAGTCGTTGGTCTTGCAAAATCTTGCGATCTTTGGCATTGTTTTTATCACCAAGGCCATATTTTCCAACTACTCCTCCTTCATTTCCAACTTTCAGATTCCAATCATCAGTAGTTATCAATGCATCTTGATTGCATGTTTGATGAATTACAGACTGCAGAAGTTGCTAAAAATCTTCAATTTCTTCATCTTTGGCCTTAGTGGTTGGTGCATAATTGAATAATAGTCATATTATCTGGTCTTTCTTGTAGGCGTATAGATACTATTCTATTACTGACAGTGTTGTATTTCAGGATAGATCTTGAAATGTTTTTTTTTGTTGAATGCAACGCCATTCCTCTTCAAGTTGTCATTCCTGGCATAGTAGACCATATGATTGTTTGACTCAAAATGGCCAATACTAGTCCATTTCAGCTCACTAACGCCTAGGATATCAATGTTTATGCATTCCATTTCATTTTTGACAATTTCCAATCTTCCTAGATTCATACTTTGT